AGCAACTCAGCCCTTGCTTGTACTTTGTCTTGAAACCATATTTCTACTTTTCTTCAAAATCAAGTAACATAGCCAAAACTCTACAGCTTGCACTTCTGACCCACTCAAGTTCTACAACCTTTTCCTTACTTATGCACAAGTTGTTTGCAAGCTAACAGACCATTTCAAGCCCCCAAGAACTCTCCCAAACACCCTTGCTGCATAAAATTGTCCCACTTGACAATTTTGAGCCAAAACTCTCCATCTCCATTTCCACTCGTGCATTTTGATTCTTAACCATCCAAATACCTTACTTACATCATATACAAGTGATACAAGCCCCTGTTTCAAGACTGTAACTCCTCCATAACTATCCACCATTTCTAAAACTGAAGCTTGCAACTTGACTTGAGTTGGGAGTTTCAGCCATCCTCAAAGTAAAGTAGGAGTTGGAACACGTTCAAGGAGGTCCAGGCAAACTACATAAATCATTAGGCCATCTCAAAGGTTGCTCAAACTCCATACACGACTTCAGCTGCAAGAGGTAAGTTTTCAAACTTATATCTCTTCATACAAGCATCATTTGGTTCTGATTTATGAAGATAAAATGTAGATACCATTGCCATGAAGCTGTATATATCCATAGTTTGCATTTATATGGCCTACGCTTAGAAAATTTTAGAGTTGAAGTTTCTGAACTTTTTAGGTTTAAAATTAGGACAGAAAAATTCTCACTCATCTTTGCCTTTTAGCTTTAGTTATTTATATGGTTGGATTCATGGGAAGAAATACCACAACTTTCATGTTTATACTTTCCATTTTTGTTGAGAGATGAAGAAGTTACAGGTACTCTGGCTGAGCGTGAGGTTGAAGATGAAGTTCAGGCCATGGACTTGATTTGTAATATATATTTTTGGTTTGACATAAGTAAACGGATGTATAGCCACCCCAATGGTAAGACAGCGCGCTAGTAACCAAGAGGGCGTGAGTTCAACACCCAGCATGCTGCCTTTTGCTTTTTTTTTCTCACATTTTTTTCCTTCTGTTTGCAGCGCCTGGGCCCCATAGCATTGGGCCTTCTTTTTTGCTTACCCAACCCCTGACTTACTTCAGCACCCCCTGACTCAATTTTCATTATTATTTTCTTTTTCTTTTTCTCTTATTTTATTTTATTTTATTTTTCCTTTATTATTAGCATTATTATTATTATTATTATTATTATTAATATTGTTTTATTGTTATTAATAAAAATCCAAAAAATATTTTATTCATTATTTTTACACTTATTTAGTTTATTTGTTTTATAAAACTAAAAGAGCAAAAACAAGTTTCTTAATAAATTAATTTCTATTTCTTGATTAATATTTAGATAATTAGGTTTAATTATTACATTATATTATTTTCTTGTAAATTAAAATTAATTTAGAATTTAGGTTTATTTTAATTAATTATTTTTCCTATCATTTCTGTTATTTAAAATATTTTCATAAATAAAACCCTAAAAAATCTCTTTTTACTTATTTTCTTTTCTTATTTAGTTTAAGTTAAGTTTATTTAATTTTCATTAATCATTTTTTAATTAGGTCAAGATTAAAACCCTTTCATAAAAATCCAAACAAAATCATTTCTTTTTCCATTACATTCTTGCAATTTTATTTTCAATTTTGTACAAATATTCAACATGGTTGTAATAACTATTTAGATTTAATTTTCTTACAATTTCCCCATTTGTAAATTTGTACACCCCTCCCCTAATGATGTAATAGCTTAATATTTTTTATTTTTCGCAATTTAATGCTTTATATATAAATGCTAGTTATTAGGTTTTGTATGGAAAGATTAAAATCAACAAATAGTAAACCTTAATCAAGACAAATCAAGCATGAAAAAGACACACTTACACACTTACACCTTTAGGGTAAATCCACTTGTTGCCTTGAGAAATAAATGGTCATAATACGCATGTAAGATGTTTTAGCAAAAACAAGCAAAAATACAAGATCATAATCCCTCGATGACGCTACAAATGTTGTCTTACAAATGATCTTAGTCCCTCAAAGAAAATGTTAAGATATCTTACAAACATTGCTATTCATGACTATTTGATGACCCCTGCCCGTCCCTTTTCACATCCAATGATGGGACTTCTTACCGAATCAATGGTAATATAACAACATTTAAAGGAGGAGGAAAAGAACATCTAAGACCTTTTGAGTAAGTAGATTTGCTCCTAGTTGCTCGCTTGCTCACAACAAAAACATTTTATACACCAACACTCTCATTTTGAAACATTTTCAAAAGATAAACACTTTGTACGCGTTCTTATAGAAACGAGAGCCATTACAAAGAAGACACCTTTTCAAAATCACTTTCAAAAACACATTCCACAAACACACCTTTGAACTATTTTCGAAACAACACTTTGTATGCGTTCTTCTAAAAACGAGAACCATTACAAAGACATTTTCAAAATACTTTCAAAATCCACACCACAAGAACATTCAAATAAAATCAAGTGATCTAGCAAGCAACTAAGAGCCCGAGGAAAACCACAGATGAAAAGGGTGCTAATACCTTCCCTTTTCATAATCTACCCCCCGAACTCAGAAAACATCTCTAAAGGTCTTTCCTATTCTTTTCATCCCTTCCTTTTGGATAAAAGAAAAGTCAGTGCAGACTCTTGCTATCCGCATAATTGCGATCAAATGCAAAACAACCAAGTCAGTTCTCCCACCGCGTTACAATAGATATTTTTAGCCTGCTTTGTCCTCACTCACGTGCTTTATGGGAAACTTCCCAAAAGGTCATCCATCCAAATACCACTCTAAATAAAGTACTCTTAACTGTGAAGTTCTTATTTGTTAGGTTATTGAAAAGAATATGCATCTTGTTGGTATATGTAGTACTACTCAATACTTATAAGCCTTTCTTTAACTATACAATCCTACACACGCACAAACTCAAGATCCCTCTCATTTCGATGTGAATTCAGTTTTTCCCTAGAAGCTGTCACCTCTCATTGTCATGCCTTATGCATCGACAACCACCCTCCGCCCTCGTCCGCCACAAGTGTTACACTAACCTTGCAAACCATATCCTCTCTCACAGCATATGAAGCTTAAATCCACAATTGCACCTCACAAGTAGAATAATAGCATATTTTGTGAAAATCGACATTTGATTATTGTGTTTTCCACAATTGAATGCATTTAATGTTGCACATGCATTTCACTTAACCAACGTTTGGGGATTTTCCTCAGCCGATGTTCAAGAATTTACCTCATTGACACTTAGAGGTTTATCTCAAGCTATGCCTGAGTGACTCATCTCAAGTATGCCTTAAGGACTCACCTCAAGAATGTTTGAGAGACTAATCGAAATGAGATAATTTGATTAGACAAAACTACTTCGTCTTTTTCAAACCCTTGTGCTTGAGGGACGGTGTACCAATATATTCATAAAAGGTCCACATGAGATGACACAACAAATTCTATAAGGACACACGATATAATATATCTCCCCTCCAAGCTTATGAGTTGTCCATTTACTAAAGCATTCTTCCATTGTTTGTAATGGTTGCACTTTTATTGTAATAATAATCCATTTATGGAAATGAGGAAGTTGACGTGTCCCTATCCATAGCGTTATGGAGAGAAAGTCAAAAGGGAGAAGCTACATTCTTTGAGGCATTTCCTCGAACACCTTATGGTCATGAATGAAGTTGTTAGGAAACTCCAGATCGTGAGAGGAAAGATATTGAGTTTATATTTTAGTTACTTACGTGAGGTTACAAACCCATATGTTCGGGTAAATCCGAACCAAACTGGAATCTGAACCAAACCATAATGTTTGGGTCGTATATTTTTTCAGTTTGGACAAGAACCGAACCAAACCAATAAAATCCAATGACAATTGACTCGGGAATCAGATTTTCAATTTTCTATCAGCAAACCCAATCCGAACCAATCGTAATTAATTATTATGAAAATTACTACCAATCATTCAAGTTCAAGAAGAAAAAAGTGAAATATTGTATATGGACAAATTATTCTATTTTAATTTATTATTAGAAAGTTGTTAGTGTATTGTGGTAAATGAGCGTAAAGCTATGAAACATATTCATTAATATACTAACTCAAGTGACTAATTATAGATTCAAACGCCTTGATGTTATATATTTTTCTTGTTAGATATTTTAGAATGTATTAGAGAAAAATTGCTAGTCTAATATTTACGATTAAACACTATTAATACTATATTTTTTATATTATTATGAAAAATTAATTTTCGTAAATAAGTTATTTTTTTTATAAATATTTTTATATTTTTTATCTACCCGATCAATCCAATCCAAACCAACTCGTTGTTTGTCAGTTCCTTTAAACTTTATCGTAAAAATTTATAAATTTAATCCAAATCCATCCATATAATTTTAATCGATTTAAATATGAGATTCTGTCAAAATCAGCCATCGAACACTCCTACAAACCTCCACAATCAAATTTTTTTATTTTTTTTTACAGTCAACCATATTATTAATCAAATTTTTTTATTTTTTTTTACAGTCAACCATATTATTAATTTTAAATGACGAGACATTAAACATGGTATATTGATGCAAAGATCAACTTGTGGAGATAAATTGTTTACAGGGATGAAAAATATATTAATTATAAATGAAAATAAGATAATTTCAAGTTCCTGAGTAGATCGAGGCAAATGTATTTTATTTTTCATGATTTTATTAAAAAATCGATAAATATTTCCCAGCTCGTGCAAGGATCAAATTGATTAGCTTCCGCTATCGACTCCGTCCCTCCTTCACAATATTAGGGTTTTCCGAATCCCAATTTCCTCAAACCAACACTGAACCCCATTAAAACGACCTCTAGTTACTGCGTTTTCGAATCTTACATTTCTCTCTATCCAACTATACAAACAAATATAAAAACTCTTCAATATTTTCGCCTCATCGGTTACGCGCGAAATCAAACAAACTTCGGTAGTGACTGCGATCATTCATGGCTTCTTCTTCGGTAATCACTCCCGAAGATGTTTTGGAATCGCTCATGAACGACGGTACAATTGATGCCCTTAGATTGAAGATCATCAACCAGCTTAAAGCCAATGTAGTTTCTACTCTCCCATTTTTTTAGATTCCGACTTCCAATGCCATTTTTTTGTTGTAAATTACAATATTACAAGTTGTTAAATGTTTGCAGAGTTTATCTTTAAGTTTGTGCTGTTTTTTATTTTGGCAGGAGGAACTCAAGAGTACTACTATAAAGATGGCTGAACAGAGTAAGGTTCTCAACACTCCCGGTGCGGAGAAACAAACCAAAAGAGAGCTCTTTGATGCGCTTCGCCAAGAACTTGAGTAAGTGATAGTTAGGGAACCAAGAACTTAGCTTACATTTATGTTTGAACTAAATGTTGAGTCCTAATTAGGGAGCCTGAATAGTTTCCTTTGTCTCTCTATGGCTGTTGCATGTTGTGCTAATGGTTAGTTACTTTGGAATTGGGTGTGATGCACACTGATGAATGATGATAATACAGTGCAGTGTAGAAAAAAGATATCTGAAACACATTTTATACCTGGCCGAAAGTAGAAGAAAGTTTTTGTTATTAATTATCTGTTCTGTAATCTATTCTTTAAAAGGAGAAAAAAACTCTTCCTGTCAGAAAATAGAGAAGAAAAACTCCGGCTACCTCCGAACATATAGAAGAATGGCGGGGACATTATATTGGCAAGGAATGATGAAACGGGTTCAAGAGTTTGTCAAAGCTTGTGATACGTGCCAAAGACAAAAGTAAGCTGCTACTACTCCTAGTGGATTATTGCAGCCGTTGCCTGTTCTGGTGCCGGTGTGGAGTGAAATCTCCATGGGTTTCATTACTAATCTACCTAAGAGTAATGGTTTTGAAGCCATTTTTGTGGTTGTTGACCGTCTTTCCAGATATAGTCATTTCGTTCCGCTTAAACACCCATTTACTGCACGTTCCATAGCTTCCATCTTTGTGAAAGAGGTCGTAAGATTGCATGGTGTTCCGTAGTCAATACCCAGTGACCGTGACCCTTTGTTTGTGAGTATTTTTTGGAAGTAGCTGTTTAAATTGTTAGGGACAGTGTTGAAGGCCAAACAGAGGTGGTAAGTAGATGCTTAGAATCCTACCTGCGTTGTTTCATTATCAGACCAACCGAAGTCGCAGGCTCACTGGATTCCGTGGGCCGAGTTGTGGTACAACACCACGTTCCACATATCTACAGGTTTTACACCTTTCAAGGTGGTGTATGGCCGGAAGTCTCCACAGTTGGTACACTTTTTGGAAGGGGAGACTAGAGTTGAAGCAGTGGCTCAAAAACTCAGAGATCGAGATGAAGCTTTGCGACAACTGAAGTTCAATTTGCAGAATGCGCAGGACAAATGAAGATTCAAGCGGACAAGAAGAGGAAAGAAGTGAAGTTTGAGGTTGGGGATTGGGTTTTTCTCAAACTAAGGCCCCATAGGCAACGGTCTGTCGTCCAACAAATCCATCAAAAGTTAGCTCCCAGATTCTTTGGTCCTTATCAAATCCTCAAGAAGGTGGGTCAGGTTGCTTATAAGCTTCAGCTGCCGGCAACATCTAAAATTCACCCCGCGTTTCATGTATCACAGTTGAAGAAAGCAGTTGGTCATTACACACCGACTAATGAGCTGCCTGCGAGTTTGGAAGTTGATAAAGGAGAGGTGGTTCCTGCGAAATTGTTGTCTTGGAGGGATAAGTTTGATGCTGGGACACATACTAGAGAATGGTTGGTGCAGTGGGAAGGTATGGATATTGGTGATGCTACATGGGAGGAAGAATTGATGTTGAAGAGTCAATTTCCTGACCTCTGCCTTGAGGACAAGGCTCTTTTTGGAGGCGGGAGTGATGATAGGAAGCGGATTGGGCCTGTTAACAAAGAAGGGGAGGTAATGGTTAACAAAGAGAGTAATGAGCCCAAAGTGTGGCGTGTGTATGAGAGAAGAATTAAGAAAAGAATCACAAAGGAAGTGTGAGGCTGATGTGGCAGTATGTTAGGATATTAGTTGGGCCTTAGTCCAAACCAAATAAATAGGAGTTGGATCAGTTAGTATTCCCCATATAAATAGGAGTGAATAGGGCAGTAGTTAGGTATGTTATTATTTTCTGTTTTTCATATTAGGGTTTGGGCAGTGAGAGAATTGTTTTCTCTTACTGAGGAGCAGTAACTCTGGAATTACTTTTGTTTTCATATTCATTAATAAAATAATTTTCTCCATCATATTCTACCTTTCCTCTGTTCTATCAAACCCCATCATATATTCATATGATGGGGTTGATGAAATCTGTGTACTAAGGATAAATCTCATCACAACTTTCTAACTTGAGGTAAATGAAACTACAAGAACTAACTTTAATATAGTACAGACTATATATTAAATCTGCCGAAGTGCTTCATTTTTATGAACAAACCCATATATAAGTATGGTGTGTATATTTGCTGATCTTGAATTTCTGTTCAAACCCCCAACTTTGTTTTCTAAATTTGTAAACTCTTTATCCATTCTGCTTGCATGATTAAGTTGTTACAATTACATTTTTTTAAATTTTGAATGAGAAAAGGGGAGTTAATAAACTCAAATGCAATCATTTTTTGGAATGTTTTGAAAGACTTTGAAAACTTAAGTTTATTCTCTATGAGTAGTATAATGATTCTCTACGATGAATAATTTTCCATGCTTGATTGGGCTTTTGACATATTTCTCTGTCTAGGTGATGTCTTGGCCAATCATAACAAGAATTGTTTTATTTTTGTTATAAAGGCAAATGTTAGTATTTCTTTGAGGGCGGGGATCGAACCCTATACCGTGTTCAATTCCATGAAGTGATGTTTAGTTATTTTGGTAGCATACTACCAATTATATCCCAACGTTAAAGGGCGTACAATGAAAATGCAAAATATAGTTCACGCGGGATTGATCCCGCGACATGATTTGCACATGAACCGGCTTAACTACCGCATCAATGAAAACAATTGTAATGTAAATGGCCTATATATTATTTATAAATATACACAACTGATATATTTATATTTATAAATATACATTTAGTGGAATAAGGCTTGGTTGTTGTAATACACAACTGATAAGACAATACACACATATCTATGCAGTTGTTTTGTCTCCTGCATAAAATGTTACTGCTGATGTCTAGCAAGTTTGTTTGTGATTTCCAAATTGATGTAGCATAATCGGGTCTAGGATTACACTGTGGCACTCTAAATATTGGGCTGAAAAGATGTGTGCAAAATAATTATCTAAAAACCAGCATTTGAAAACTTGGTTCTCCAAAAATGGAAACGGAATAGTGACACGTGTAAATGCCTATGCGTATCCAATAGGTATTCAATTTTTTTGTTTTCCCTGATCCGGGTCAACTGCATCTTTGATTTGATTTCACAATCAAAGACATGGTTGGTACCCGAATACGGCACACCCAACCCAAGACACGATTGGTATCCGAATTTGGCACACCCAACCCAAGACATGGTATGCACCCGAATACGGCACACCCAGTTTTATCTTTTACTATTTTAACGTATCCTTACTTTGCACCCCCCAACCCAAAAAATATCTTAATCCAAAGTACATATCCGCATGATTCACCAAATAAAACCCATATTCTCAAAGCTAGGGCTTGCTTGTAATCATGTGAAATTTTTTTGCTCTGTTTGCCATTTCATCCATTTGGAGATATGCTCCTCTCTTTGTTCTTTCTATTAACATATCTAAGGCTATGTTGTACTTTGTATCTTGACTGCTTATTACTTAGCCAAAAGAATGCTTAGAAACCCCTTATTTTTTCACACATTTTTAAATTATATTCTTTTACAGCCATTAAACCTCTTCATATTATGAAATAGTGTGATTAGAGAATCTAATTAAATACAAATCAAATCCTGTAAAATAGGCTTAATCCTAATAATCATAAATAAATGGAAAAGCAGGTTGACAGTTTACTTGCTGCATACGATTGTAGTTAAGATGCAAGAATAAACCATATTCCAGTCCTCCAAAGGTATATATGGGTTGATACTTTGGTTCTTTGAAGAATTTTGCCTCCAATTTATTGTTATCATAATGAAAAGTGTCATGAAAGTCATTATTTCATGTAAAAGACCACAGGATTGAGGAATTAAATTAATATCAATTATTTTTGGGTGGAAATTGTCGAATATTTTAGTGGTGAATTTCAAGTCACTTTCTTTAATACGGACTGAAATAGGGGTTTAGTCTGTAGTTGCTGTCTTATATTGGTTTTGCATGTGGGAAAGTAGAAGCTACTTGTTTGTATGTTTAATGCTTCTATAAGCAGGCCTCCTTGGTAATTATACTGATACAATAGTGCCTCTTAATTTTTGTGGCTAGTGCCTAGTGAACACCTCTTCAAATAAATTATAATGAAATTGACGTGCACTGAAAGGTGCACTGAAAGGTATATCTGTTTAAACTTGTACTGTGTTTTTTGGGTCATTGTCTTGTTCTATTCTTGATAGGTCTGAATTGATAGTCTGTATTGAATTAGGAGAGACTAAGAGACATTTAGGTTAAGCCGTGTGTTTTGAAAGCACTACGGAGACTTTATTATATATAGAGAGGATTACAATTAATTACATGATATAATCGATGTAGGACTATTCTATGTACAAATATTCTTAACACTATATATTTACAAATATCAACACTCCCCCTCAAGCTGGAGCATATTAGTCAAATACACCAAGCATGCCACATATATAATTAATTATGGGACTTCGCAGGGATTTTGTAAACACATATGCCAATTGATCATTAGAGTTGACAAAGCTTGTGACGATGTCGCCAGATTCAATCCTCTCTTTGACAAAGTGACAATCTATCTCAATATGTTTGGTTCTCTCATGGAAGACTGAATTTGAAGTAATGTGCAATGCAACTTGATTATCACACACAAGTGTCATTGGTCTTGCTTCTTCAATTTGAAGTTCTTTGAGCAACTGTTTTAACCAAATGAGTTCACATGTTGCCATTGCCATGACCCTATACTCTACCTCAACACTTGATCTTGCAATTACATTTTGTTTCTTACTTTTCCAGGATATAAGCTTTCCTCCAACAAGTACACAATATCTAGAGGTGGATCGTCTATCAATTGGTGACCCTGTCCAATCAGCATCAGATATCCAACTATCTGAGTATGTCCTTTATCTTCATACACTAAACCTTTTTCTGGAGCACATTTGATGTATCTCAGAATCTGGATAACAACATCCATGTGTTCCTGACAAGGAGAATTTAAGAACTGGCTTACCACACTGACTGCAAAAGAAATGTCTGGACGAGTGACTGTGAGATAATTCAACTCTCCGACCAATCTCCTATACCTTCCCGAGTTAGATAGAGGTTTCCCCTGATTGGGTAGTAGTTTGACACTTGGATCCATAGGAGTATCAGCTGGTTTGGCGTTCAACAAACCTGTTTCTTCCAAAATATCCATGAAATATTTCTGCTGAGAAATGACCAAACCATCTTTAGATTGGGCAACTTCAATACCCAAGAAATACCGGAGTTTACCAAAATCTTTTGTCTGAAATTGATTTGAAAGATGTTGTTTCAACTGGAGTAGTCCCGGCTCATCACTACCGGTTATGACAATATCATCTACATACACAATAAGATAAATACACCCTTAAGCTGAGTGACGATAAACGACAGAATGGTTAGTTTCACTACGGACCATACCAAATTGTTGTACTACAATGCTGAATCTGTCAAACCAAACTCTCGGAGATTACTCAAGACCATAAAGAGACATGTGTAGCCTACAAACCATATTCGATGACTCCCCCTGAGCAACAAATCCAGGTGGTTGCTCCATATATAATTCCTCTTCAAGATCACCATGTAAAAATGCATTTTTGATGTCAAGTTGATGAAGATGCCAATGACGAATGGCTGCAATGGCTAGAAGAAGTCTAACTGATGCGATCTTGACTACAGGCGAGAAAGTATCACTATAATTCAATCCAAAAACCTGAGTGTATCCTTTGACTACCAAGCGAGCTTTAAATCGATCAATCTTACCAGTTCCCATATACCAGTTTCCATGTAGAGGGGGTAGAGGAACCAGTTCCCATGTACCACTGCTTTGAAGAGCACACATTTCATTAATCATTGCTTGCCTCCACTCAGAGTAAGATAATGTTTCACCTGGAGTGTTAGGAATAGAAACAGAAGACAAACAAGTATACTGCAAAGGGGAAAGACGATGATAGCATAAATCAATATAATGTGGAGAAGGATTTCGTCTTTGACGTATACATTTTTGAAGGGCAATCGGAAGATCGGACTCAGGTTGCAGGATGGGATCCGGTGATGGCGAGAGCATCGGAGGAGAGTGCGCAATGACCTCAGGGACATGTACGACCTCAGGGACAAGTACGACCTCAGAGACAAGTACGACAAACATTGGTTGACGATGTTGATATGTTTGAAGTGGACGAGAAGTCGGGGGGTCAATCGTAGGGTTATCTAGTGGGCCAGGTTCCCTAGAATGATGGGGGATAATGACATATGGGACTTCCGGAAGAGGTGTAGGAGTACTCTCCTGAAGGAGTTTCAGAGTTACTTGGCTGGACTCGAAATATGGAGCAGACTCAAAGAAGGGGACATCGGCCGACATGAGATATCGTTGTAGGGTATATGAATGACAACGGTAACCTTTTTGGGATCGATGATAACTAAGAAAAACACACTTTAATGCTTGAGCTGATAGTTTATCAAGATCAGGAGAGATTGTGTACAAAACATGTAGAACCGAAGACTCGGGGAGGAATTTTGTGAAGGGAGAATGGGGAAAAAGGATTGAATGAGGGATTTTATTGTTAAGGTCAGATGATGGCATGCAGGTAACATGCTGTTAGCACAACGTCTCCCCAACCCGAAGTGGAACATTACCATGGAGAAGTAGGGTCTGAGTGGTTTCTACAAGATGTCGATTTTTGCGTTCGGCTACCCCGTTTTGTTGAGTTGTATGAGGGCAAGATGTTTGGTGGAGAATATCATTACTGGACATAAAAGTTTGAAATTGTTGGAATAAATATTCACGAGCATTATCTCTTCTTAAGATACGAATAGACACACCAAACTGAGTTTTTATTTCTTAATAATATTTTTCAAAAATAGAAAATAATTATGATCTATTTTTCATTAAAAATAACCACGTGCAACGTGAAAAATCATCAATAAAGGTGACAAAATACCTAGACTCAAGAGTAGAGATAGTACGTGAGGGACTCCAAACATCAGAAAGGGGACGAAGCTCGTTTATTGACTCGATTGGGAAATTGACTGCGAATGTGTTTTCCTAACTGACACGACTCACAATATAAGTTAGATACTTTCGATAAATTTGGCACCAACTTTTGTAATTTAGGAAGACTAGGATGACCTAATTGAGCATGGATTGTGAGTGAAGAATCTTTGACTGAGCATGTCTGAGATGACACTGAATGGTAATAAAGGCCTTGAGACTCATATTCGACGTCAATTGTTCGTCCCGAACTCTGATCCAGTGTGTGCAACCGAAACAGTAGAATCTGAGTTCTGATAATTCTGATACCACTTGAGGAAATCGTCGTAGTTTGGCGTAAAGTTCTGAGGAGTAGCCATGAGTATCAGATTTGGAAAAGTTGCACGGTGGAGAGTGCGGCGGTTGAAAAATCGTCGGGATTGGCCGGATCAAAGGAGGCGCTTTTGCCGGTAGGGTTAGTTGTCGGAATTAGTAGCGGCGGATGGCGGCAGCAGTCCGGTGGTTACCGGGAATGTTGGAAAGTGAGAGGCAAACCGGAGTGATGACACGGTTTGTAAAAAAAAATATTGTTATCAGAAGACAGTGGATCTACTGGGTAAAGCACGGCGAAGAATTGCCTCTTAGTAGGTTCTAGATACCATATTGAATTAGGAGAGACTAAGAGACATTTAGGTTAAACCGTGTGTTTTGAAAGCACTACGATGACTTTGTTATATATAGAGAGATTACAATTAATTACATAATATAATCGATGTAGGACTATTCTACATACAAATTTCTTAACACTGTGTATTTATAAATATCAACACTGGACCATTGGCCACATGGTCACCAAAAAAGCTAGTGCAATGTTTTCAGCTTTTTTAATGTCTATTTGGTTTTGTTTCTTACTCAAATGCTTTATGTGGGTCGAGGATCATAAAAGAATTGGTTGAACTTGAAGTTATTAGTCCTGATTAAATTTTATGGTCACATCTTAATTTTTGCTGGAATTCTGGTTTCCTGGTTTTTCCTGATAAAATGTCCATTTCATGCAGAACTTCTGTACTAGAGAAAGCTTCAAAATCAGTTTGGGATTTAATTTTAGACAACAATGGCTTGGGAAAGGAGATAAGTGAGACAGTTGAAAGAGTGTTTTGCCGATTGAGCGGTCAGGAACCTCCTTTATTTCCGCTTCTAAATGGAGAACCACAACCTGAAAAGGAGGCTGACAGCAGAAAAGAAAAAGGTAAAGGAAAGCAGAAAGAAAATGAAAATACGAGTTTGATTACTCCTCCATCAAAGAAACGAAGCTTCGGGGAATTAAATTTGGATGGTGCAGATGAAACTGCCACGAGGTCCTCTGATCCTGCAGCAATATCAGAAGTTTCTGGCAAATCGCCTTTATCGATTTCAAAGACTTGATTAGTGAGTTCAACAGGTTTATATGTAATGGAAGTAATCACATCTGGTAAATATACTGTAGAACTTGTAGGATTTCACTGGAGTTCAGAAGAATTGTTCCAGTCACCGAAGCCGTGTATGAATACCTTGTATGCCTTATATATAATTTAGGAGTTTGAATGATGAAACTTTACCAAAGTCTGCTGTTGATTCACCAATTTTTCATTGTTAAACTTGAGAAGGCTAGGAGATGTGTGGATTGTGATTTGAGTGTCGCATCTGTGAGAAATATTAGCAACACCTTTTTAAACATGATTCTTGTTTGGGGAAATTCTAGAGTGTAGGTGGCATCTGCACATGTGGTGCACAATAGATTGCAAAAACGTTACGATATAATTTTAATCTCTGAATATTTCTTTCTTTCTTATTCCTCAAAACTAATGTCTCTTAATTGGCTTGATGACAATGTTTTGCTTCATGGTAAATATGTTTCCATACAGATTTATGGACAGGTATAAAACCTCATGCCCTTGTTTAACAGGTTGCCACATATCACTAGACACTAGCATCAAGCTATTCCTTTCTAACTGCTCGAATCTGATAATGGTTAACAACGATAATTTTTCAAAATCTTACACTTTTTATTCATTTACAACTTATCTGAATCTATGTGAAAAAATAAAGACACTTAATATGGAACAGATTGAGTTTCATAAGTAATCAATTGAACATAGACCAATCAAATTGTGCGCTTGTATTGTTGTTGTAAACAAAACTTGCTTCAATTGATTGACCAACATTTGGGCAAAACACACTGTCACTATCCATCATATGTGTTGAGTTGAATTCATTTTCTGGAAAATCGTAGCCTCTTATCGACATGTTATTAATGTGGCTAGGCAGTTCATACTTTAACCCACCTGGTCCACTTGGTTGGGCTTGTATGCAACTTGCATGTGGGGCAGACTCCATTGAAAGTGAAGTGTCATACTCATCATAATGAAACCCTTGACTCCAAGAGGTTGACATCGTTGGATCATGGTGCATTTGATTGTTGATTGCCTCATCTGTAGCATATGATGTTTTTAATGTTGTGATGAGCACACATGCATTATTCATTTTGAAATAAAATCTATTGATATTGTTTTTACCTGAAGTTTGTGAAGTCGGGTTGTTGTAATTTAAAGTTTGAGGCATATAGGCAAACATTTGAACTTGTTGATCCATGTTTTCTGAATCATCATGACAGAAACTAAGCTGTGTTGTCCTCTTATCTAAATGTGAATCAAAATAAATAGCATGTGAACTAGGAAAAGGTCTCTTGCTCAGTTCCAACAATCGAATATCACATTGCAAGAGCTTTGCGTAATATTGGTCAAGAACTCCAGGAGGAAATTGAAGATAGTGCCTCCTGAGTAGAAATATTCGGTATCAACAACAAAATGATACATCGTATAAAACTATATATGTATAAATCATATATATTTGTGAAAGTTTTCATGCAAAATAAAAAGAAAAAATTGCTATTTACCGGTATTTAGAAGCTTGGCCACGAGTGAAGTCATGAGATAAGGTCCACACAGTGTGCTTTCCTGGCTTTGGTTCAATCTCACGAAAGAAGGATGGCTCTTTTTCAAGCTGTGAAAGTTAGCATTTCATACACTGTTATTGTAAATTCTCTCAAGTGTTTATATTGGTAAATAAATAGAAAAAGTACCTCGATTTCTAGAATACCCGGTGAATTATCTTCGATAATAGCTCGAATGGCTGAAATATTTCGCCACTGTATTTCAATCTTGTCCTTTAAACCATCACGCATTATCTCCCATACCAGTTTTCTTTTAGCATAATAAAACTTAGCTACCAAATCCGCGGGATATTTAGCTTCGATCTGCATGCACATATATAACATGAGAGAAATATTTTACTATCCAATAAAATCACAAAAGTTATATACATACTAGAAGATACCTTGAAAAACCCGATCATGAGCATATACATTGGAAAATGAACAGCTTTTAACTTCTCAACTTTCTTTGTTACAAGTCGACATGAAGTTTCAGTAACAGCATTTGTTTTTTGTTCTGTGTATGGAAGCATATCAGGGGTCAATGTGAGTTTTAACCCGAGTGGTAGCGGATACTTGGATAACTCTCTCAAGTTCAGATGTGCATCATCATTGGATTCTGAGGATGTCATGTTCCAGTCATACCAGTTACTGTAAGCCATGTATAGCAGAGACTAGAGATAAATGAATGAGTTTTACGGTTAGTTTTGTAATGACTCAAACTATATATAGATTGATATCATATGAAATTGGGGTGACTATATTACTTTTGATTCGTATGCTTATTTAGTATATGAATGTTTATTAATTAATTTTTTTCAAAAAGGCGCATGCACTAACTTGATTGTTATAAAGATAAAAGCCAATTTGAGATAAAACTTCTATAGTAGAAGCTTCTTATCCACTTATACTGTACAATTTCCAACTCACTATCCTAAAAAAGTTTTACAAAAAATTAAAGTACATGAACTAAAGCATACATAAACCCATCAAATCTTATGTTGAGATTTTATTTTAATTATAAGATAACATGAATCAAAATATATAATACTCCCTCATTCAAAAATTCATTGGTTTAATATTTGAAAAATTCTATGGTGCAGTCACTAAAATGATTTTTTTGGCGAAGTCAGTAATTTGGTCAATGAAAAACAAATTTTAACTTAATCAGTGTCACATAGGATTATATTGTACATACCATTTATTATGTATTCTCATATTTATTGATGTTACAATTAAGTTCCTATCATATTAAAAATAATAAAATTAATAATTTGAAAATCAAAAATTTTAATTGTTAAATTGAAAATCAATAATTTTAATTGTTAAATTAAAAATCAATTAAAAGTGCCAAAATTTTTTGGATGAATAAAACTTCATCTTTCTCAACGAAATTTCATCTTTCTCTTTTCTCTTCTGCTAATTTTATAGTCAACTCAACCTCAACTTTTTTCATACTCAATCCGTCATTGTTGGACGAATTTACCTTGTCACCTTTCTGTTCGTGCTCAGTTCATACACAATTTTATGTTCGTCCGCCATTATTGAAGAACTGACCTCTGTTATTCTTTATAACACTGCATTCAATCTGTCATCAAACAAAACACCACCAAAAATCTACAAATCGCAGTTTGCTTGTGTTCGTATTGAGAACATAGTTGTTAAGGTAAATCTGCAAAACTGGGCTTTTTCGATCATCAAATAAAACACCACAAAAAAGTGCAGTTTGCTTGTGTTTGTATTGAGAACAAATTTGCTAAGGTAAATACGAAAATATTTGTTATATTTATTTGAAATTAGTTACTAAGATTTAATGATATCGAATTGGGGTATTATACATTTGATTTCAATTTGAGAATTAGGGTTTATGTTTGAGTTTGTTTTCTGTATATGGGTATTTTAATTTGGGAATTAGGGATTATGTCTGAATTTGTTTTCTGTATACGTGTTTCAAATTTAATGATTTCGATTTTGAATTTTCTTAGTCACATTTGATTTTAATTATGAAATTAGGTATTGTGATTAATGTTGAATTTTACTGTGTTAAAAGTTGTTTTAATTCAGGTTTACGATGGTAAACTCAGATGATTCATTTGAGGTTGATTCCAATGAAATTCATTCCGCTGATTGTGATACATTTGAGGTTGAATTGAATGATGATGAGAGTGACAATTATTAAAGCTCATATGATGATGTTGACGATGCTGATAATGACGATGAAGATGATTAGGTTGAATTAGATGCAGTTATAGGAGATAAAGTGGTAAGTATTAATGCCATGACTTCTGAGAAAATTCGTGCTATGAAATTCAGTTTTGTTAATGAATCTTATGATTTTTATCATAAGTATGGTAAATGCAAATGTTTTTCCATTAGGAAAAGTGATATTAGGAGAAAAGGGTCTGGAAGTAGTAAAATAACAGTAATGAGGTAGTTTGTATGCAATAAACATGGTTTAAGAGAGAATAAACACTTATGTAGGATAAATAGTGTAAGTACGAAGTGTGCCTAAGAGGGGGGGGGGGGGGGGGGGGGGGTGAATTAGGTACTTTAAAATTTTTCTGGTTTTAGTGATGATGGATATTATTTTTTTGGTGTATGGTGAGTTTATGAAAAAGTAAAGTGCAGCAAAATAAAGAGACACAAGCGATATATCATGGTTCCCCTCACAGTCCGAGAGTACTCCGGTCCCTTTTCAACATGAAAGAGATTTCCTTATAGTTGGCAAACTTAAACAAGAACTACCAAAACCAAGAACAATCCTCTTGGATTTTCACTATGTCAACAATGAGAACAATCCTCTCAAGGTGAGCTTACTTGTTTCCAACAATCCTGAAAAACAAAACCACTAATCTTATTTCCAATAATCCTGAAAAATAAGAAAGTGTACAATAATATTTTGATTGAGTGAGTTTGTAGAGCAATAATCACTTTGAGTGATTTTATCAATAACATAATCTTCTCTTCCAATAACAATGATATACAATGACTCAAGACTTAGATTTCTCAAAGTTTTCTGTTATACAAGATATAAAAATATGTAGAAAACTTTTTGAATGAAAGTGAAAAAGACTTGAGTTGAATATTTGAAAATCCAGAAAAATATTGATTGGAAGAGGTTGTTTTTGATTTTGAAATATCAGCATTTATATGTTCATAGCACCTCTTTGAAACAACATAAGTTTATGTAAATTAATCATGAACAATTGCCAAGATTAAGTGAAAAGATTCCATGAAATGGTGTTATGAAAAGGTATATTCAAAGCTGTTGATTTTCAAAAACGTTCAGCGAGCAATCGATTGCACCCTTGATGCAAATCGATTGCATGGGTTCTAACAGCCAGAAATTTCAAATATTTTCAGTGAGCAATCGATTGCACAAACATGGAAATCTATTTCACTTTAAAACAACATTATTTTTAACCAGATAGCAATCGATTGCACTCTTGTGTAA